TCACGGCGCTGGCGCAAAGCAAGCTGACCTACGACTGCGAAGTGTGGGGGCCACTTACAGTACAGCAGAAGCAGATGCTGCAGAGCAGACACATGGCGAGTCTGCGGGCCGCCGCAAGACAACAGCGACACAGCGCGGGACATGTACATACCTTGGATGACGAAATATACTTGCTGTGCGACGAAGTACCGATCCACATGTACCTGCGCCGACGGCGCCTGATGTACCTGGCCAGGATGGCGCATGCAGACACGCCCTTCCTCCACCGCCTCATCGACGAACTCTGGGAGGATGAGAAGGCCTGGAACGCTCTTATCGTCGAAGATCTGGACTGGATAAGAAGTTTCCTACTAGACGACGAGGACATCGGCAGCGACATCAGGGGATTGCTGCGATGGCTACGCACACAGCACGTGCGAGCCGCACAAGCCACGATCACCCGTGCGTGGCTCAGGTACAAAGCATGGCAGCACGACATATATCGACATCGAGTTTGGCAAAGGCAGCTACACCGTCTTGCGCAAGAGTTTGGAATGACCACGCCCAACTTCGAGGGGCTGCCGCCCGCACAGCACTGTGGCTACATATGCTATGAGTGTGGCAAGATATTAAAAACTCGGGGAGCATGGAAGCGCCATCGCACCATGGAACACATCGGCTACGACCTTCCCGAATTGCTTGCCCGTTCGACTACCTGCCCTGGGTGCGGGAAGAACTTCATAACGAGATCCCGCATACTCAAGCACCTGAGAAGGTGCCCCAAATGCCTGGCGGTCCTCCAAGCAATCGAGGTCCCAATGGATTTGCAGGAGGCAGCCGAACGCCGAGAAGAAGAACGAGAAGCTGTGGCGGCGAGGAAGGCAATGGGGCATGGAGCTACAAAGGCGCTGGTGCCCGCCCAACAGGTCATACAGCTCAAGCTGGCCGACTACATAGAGCAGCACCAGCTCCAACTCTCGCCGGCCCCGCCTGCGGCAGCGGACGTCCAAACAGCGACACCACCTGCAATCGTATTCTCACCGTGCAGGCCCATGGTTACCACGGCTATGTTCTTGCTGCACCTTTTCTCGGGCAGACGTCGAATCGAGGATTTCCAGTACCACTTCGAGATGAACATTCGGGAATGCAACTTGGTAGTACTATCGATCGACGTGCAGATAGACCCCGTCAAAGGAGACCTGACGAAGCCAGACGTCGTCGACTTTTGGTGCGCAGCGATGCGACAGGGCAAAATATTTGGTATTGTGGCGGGCCCGCCCTGCGAGACGTGGTGCTCATCGCGCTGGCATGCCGCCGAGGGGAAGGCACCTCGACCACTACGTACACATGGAGCCCCCTGGGGCATACAAGCAGCTAGCCAAGCGGAGCATCAACAGATCGCACTAGCCAACGAGCTATACAGGACAGCTTTACTACTCATCACCACGGGCCTGCAGTACAACGTCTCAGCCGTACTCGAGCATCCCGCCCCAGCCACATGGTGCCCTCAAGCGCCTAGCAGCTGGCAGCGAGCAGAGACGCTCTGGCTCCTGGAGCAGACGGGCGTCGAACTTCACTACATAGACCAGTGCCAGTTCGGGCAGGACGCGAGAAAACCAACATGTCTGATGGCGGCACACCTCGGTGAACTCGCACAGGAGCGAAGGGCGGTACCTGGGGGACAGCTATGCCGACATGCGGGACATGCCGGAGTTTACGGACGAGACGGCCAAGGCGGCTGGAGGACCGCCCCCCTCAAAGAGTATCCATCAAGGCTGTGCAAGGCAATGGCTACCGCCTTCGCAGCCCACTGGGGGCAGCTTGCTGACGCAGAGGCAATGTGGGCCGAAACGGACGACTGCTACCACAGGTTCTACGCCCCCTTGGATTACTACATGGAGACAGACCAGATCGGCCATGATTGTCACAGGGCATGGGGCAACCATCGGCGCTAGCAATTGGCACCGCGGCGGCTTATTTGGTGCAGTTAGTCGAGTCAAGCGTCCAGTATTATATACTTTTGCCCCGTAAGGGAACACTGGTCTGCAATTTGGCGCAGACCACCGGCTTGCTACAGATTTGATGGCAGCTGGCATTGCAATATTTTATACAGAGTATTTCAGATTGGCAGCAGAAGTGTCAGCATCAGCGCACCTACGGCATGGCCCAATACCCTGTTGCTAACGGGTTACTGGTACGGATGCGACCTGGACAACGATTGCGTGCCATCTCGAGGGGGGGGGACCCGTAGCGCCCATACGGGTGGGCACGATCCCTCAATGGCGACGGAGCGTGCCCCCCCCCTCGAGCACTTGCTGGATTTATCGACTTTCCTAACATTGGCATTGTTTACTATGATTATTTGGCCCTGGGCAGGCATTACGGTGTGCTGCTTAAGTCCTGAGGAAGCCCCGAATGCATGGGAAGACCTCAGGCAGCGTCGCCAACCTTGGCTATCGTTAAAACGCAAGACCTGGGGAAGCCCCGAATGCGAGGGAACACCCCAGGCACAAGTCGCCACGTTTTGATGTGTACCGCGGCGGCTCCTGGAGATCTACAATATGGATGGCGCCAGCTGGCTGGCAGCGGGCGGCCCATTGGCCGTCAGCGTATCACCGACCGACATCGACAGCATACCCAACACGACCCCCTACAACTCCTTCCAAGTCAACGCTGTCCTGGTGAGGATCAAACTTCGAGACGGGCTCGAAGGGCTGGGGGGGAAGGACGAGTACTTCCCGCGCCCGCCAGCGGGGATGGTGAGGGGCAGGGGGGGGGTAGGACGGCCACTACCCGCGCCCCCGCGGTCCGCCCAAGCTCGCCACCCCCACCATTCCCATGGCGAAGGAGGAGCTTACCCGATCGCCGACGCGGCGAAGCTGAAGGCAGCAGAGACATTCCCCACCGACGACAACAGCAAGCACCAGGCCTGGGGTTCGCCCCCACCGAGGGCACCGTGACCCCTAGCCATAGCGGGACGAGGTGGGGCCGCCACGAACCCCACTTGAAGTCGGTGCATGGAGGCCTCTCATGTGCGCCCATAACCCACAACACAACCCCAGCAACAACACGCTATCCCCACGACCTGACCATAGACACTCAAGACGACCATCTACAGCCTATGGGACTCGCCACCGTCAGATCACCCAGCCCGCAACCACCACCCATCCAACCACCATCACCACCTCGACTCCACCAGCCCACTGAAAGGAGGACAGGAGCAGGGTCCTCAGCAGTGCGGCACGACTCAACCATGACAGTGCCTGCTGAAAGGAGGACAGGAGCAGGGTCCTCAACAGCCAGGCTCGAGCAACACGCCATGGAGACACTGAAAAGGAGGACAGGAGCAGGGTCCTCAGAACCAATCTCCAGATGGCACGCCCGCAGAAAGGAGGACAGGAGCAGGGTCCTCAGCTGCGAGGCACCACAAAGACTATCAACCCCAGAACCTCCACCCCATCAACAGCAACCACCACCTTGACGAGACCAGCCCGCTGAAAGGAGGACAGGAGCAGGGTCCTCAGCAGTGTGGCGTGATGAGCCTGCCACATCGGAAGCGGTGCTCAGCACGTACGACATCTCAGAGGAGTCCAAGCAAAGTGAAGGAGGCGGCGCACCGTGCGCCGCGGCGAGGCCTTCCCCAGCCTCGCGTGGCAGGCGAGGAGATGGCTGCAGGGCCGCCGAAGTCCAAGAGAGGCTTGGCGGGCCTCCACAGCGCCATGCGCCGAAGGGTGGAGGCCGCCGCAGAGAAGGCGGCCATCCATCCGATGACACGGCGGCTGGGCTCAGCGCGAGGCGCCGAAGGGAGCCCAGCCGCCACACAAGAGGCCGACCGCCCACAAAGAGGCCGAAGGCCTGGCTGCGCGCCGTGCTGCCTGAGCGGGCACGGGCGAGCGCGGCGCCCGCTGAGGGCCCAGACGGGCCCTCATCTTTTTAGTTTTGCTGAAACCCGGCCCCCTTTCTCCCTCCTCTATGTTTTATTGGTCCCCGGCTCCCTACTTTCCTCGGGGTCGGGTTCCCGGGGCCGCTGTCTGAGTGCCCGCACGGCCCTAGAGGGCCGCTGCAGAGCGCTCCGCGCCCGCGGGGCGCGCGACAAGACGCTGCATAGCGAGAAACGTAGAAACGTAGGAGGAGGAGGAGGAGGAGGAGGAGGAGGAGGAGGAGGGGGATGCGGCTCGACCCGGGAGCCGCCGATGTTGAGACCGCCCCAGGCTGCTCGGGGGGCCTGCCGAGGCCAAGCGGCACTACTCGGAGGGCCTGTCGAGGCCAACCGGGAACACCTTGGGCGGCCGCCTGTGCGCAACCCGAAGCCTTACCACCTCTGACCCCATCGACTTGGACCCCACTGAGACGGCCGCGGCAGTTGCAAAGGGGACATGGGGGGCTAGAAGTGGAGTTTATAAGAACCATAAGTGCCCTAAGAAGTTTAGGGGAGCTGGCGATCGGCGCACAATGGGTTCGGCCCACTTAGCGGAGCTGTCTAGCCCCCCCCACTTGTAAGGCACCTGTTACACATTGATCCGACCACTTAGGCCAATCAGACCGCCTAGCCACTGATCCGACGCACTTCGCTCCGCCCACTTAGACCTGATCCCCCCCCCGAACCACTTCGGGCACTTCTCGCCCACTGATGCTAGGTTAGGCCAAATACTCCACACCTCTGCATCCGCGTCTGACCCCCCGTATCTGATGGGCCTGCCTTCCACCACCGCCACCTCAAGTTGAAGGGGGGAGGGGGTCCTCCTCCCCCTCTTCTTCTTCCTCCTCCTCCTCCTCCTCCTCCTCCCCCTCCTCCTCCCCCTCATCATCATCATCATCATCATCATCATCATCATCATCATCATCATCATCATTATCATCATCCTCCACCTCCTTCCTCCCTCCAACTTCTGGTGGTGGTGGTGGTGGAAAACAAGCCCATCCGCACCCCCTTTGCAACCGCCGCGGCATTCTCCGCACTCGGGAGGCCCCGGAAAACACACACGCGGCGGCGGCGGCGGTCGGCGGTCGGCCCGCGGCGCCGGCAGCCGCCGCCGGCCCCGCGCGCAGCAGTCGGGAGGCCTGGCGCCGAGCGCGCGCGCTGTTACTCGGCGCCCTGGGCCGCAGCCCCTCTGCTGCTGCTGCTGCTGCTGCTGCAGCTGCTGGTCGGAAGCTTCCAAGCCGGAGAAGGAGGGGAGACACGCACGCGACGCTCGTCCCTCGCACCCCCCCGTCTTCCTCACGGCCACCCTCGCCAATCTCTTGGGAGGATTGTCGGGCGCCTGACGCCCTCGGCACCGCGAGCGCCTGGCCTGAGCCGGGGCACCACGGATGGACACGGATGGGCTGGACACGGATGGACACGGATGCAGCTGCTGCTGCTGCTGCAGCTGCTGCTCTTCCTATTTGCCCCTCCTCCTCCTCCTCCTTCTTATTGCGCATGCCCTGAGATCCGGGCGTCGCCCCTTGTTCAAAACGGCTGATTTTGCCCCGTTTCGGGCCTTGGGGAGAAGACCCGCCGCCTTCCGCCCTCCCCTTCTCTCACCTCCCCCCCCCTCGCTCGCCGCCGAGACAGAGATGGCGCGAACGCACCTATGGCGTCGTGGCCGCCGCGCCCCGACGAGCTGCGCTGCTCGCCGCAGCGGGCACGCCGCGCTGTTCTGCCAACGCCGCACCCTCGCTGAGCCCCCTCCCTCCGCGCACGCGTCGTCGTCGTCGCGACCCAACGTCGTCGTCGTCGTCGTCGTCGTCGTCGTCGTCGTCGTCGTCGTCGTGGTCGTCGTCGTCGTCGTGATCGTCGTCGTCGTGATCGTCGACGTCGTCGTGGTCGTGATCGTCGACGTCGTCGTGGTCGTGGTCGTCGTCGTGGTCGTGGTCGTGGTCGTCGTCGCGGCCCAACGTCGTCGTGGTCGGCGTCGTCGCGGCCCAACGTCGTCGTGGTCGTCGTCGTCGTCGTCGTCGTCGTCGTCGTCGTCGTCATGGTCGTCGTCGTCGGCGTCGTCGTCTTGGTCGTGGTCGTGGTCGTGGTCATGGTATTGGTCGTGGTCGTGGCCGTGGTCGTCGACGACATCGGGGGTTAGGCGGGGCGGGGCGGAAGGGAGCCGCGGGGGGGAGGCACAGGACGACAGGACGCCAGGACGGCGGACGAGCGGCTTACGACGGACGAAATGCGACAACGGGGCGAGACGGCAGGACGCGACGACAGGAGGGCGCCAGGACGACGGCCGAGCGACGGACGACAGGACGTGGCAGGGAGGCCCCTGGGGAAAGGCATCGGGAGCTCGGGGGCGGAGGACTGCACGGAGGGGAGAGTCGGAGGATGTCTGGGCCTCTGCCCCTCCGCTCATGAAGGGGCCCAGGACACACAAATAGATACACACACACACATAGAATGATTCCCCATATTTTCCCATATTTTCTGGGTTTCTGTCTTCCCCCCCACTTCCCATATTTTCCCATATTTTCTTGGGAATCGAGGATTAATTGTGTCTGTGTGTGTTTTTCCCCTCCTGAAGTCCGGGCGGCGCCCAGCACTCGCGACAGCCGCTCGCCTTCTGGCGCCCTCGGCCAACGGAGGCTGTCTGCAGCTCGGGCAGACTGCCCGTCCCAATGGGGGGAAAGGGCTCAGGGGCCCACGCACTCGAAAGACAACGGCGACGCCGGAGACGAGGGCCGCCGGTTGAGACAGTGGCGGCTCTCCCGCCCGGCCCAAGTCTGTCCCGAGAGACCCCTCCCGGGCTGCATGCGGGTACGATTCATCGCAGCGGATCCGGCCGTGGCGAAGAGGCGCCTCCAGGAGGCCCAACAGGGACGAGGAACGCCAGAGGGGGCCGCCATTGTCTCGACAGGCTCTTCCGAGACGGCGACGGCGGCGACGACGGCGGCGGTGGCGGCGGGCGACGACGGCGACGGCGCGGGCTCCCCAGGAGGTCAGGGGGGGGATCGGCTCACAGGGGGACGCATCGACCTCCAATCGCTCATCGAGCGCCACTAAGGGGCCCGATGGCTCACCCTGCCCACGAACCCGCGGCCCTGAGATCCCGGCGTTGCATCTTTTTCACAGCGGGCGTTTTCGGTCGGCATCAGGCCCTACGAGCCGGCTCAAAAAATGACGTCGAAACATGGGGTCTGGGGCTGCGGGCGTGATCTTTTGCGATGTTGTATTTTTTGTAACGTCGGATATCAGGGGGCTCGCTATCGGGGGCCTGTCGCCGATTGATCGGCGATGTATCGCCGATTCGTGCCCGATGTTTCGTGTGTCGTCGAACTTCGCGCCACTCGCCCCGGGCGACGCAAAACAAGTGTATCGTCGAACTTTGCGCATCGCGCTCCGCGATGCGCAACACGCAGTTCATGTCGCGACCTCGCGTCCTCGCGCCACCCCTCGGAGGACGGGCAGCCCTCCGGCAGCCTGGGCCGCGATGCGCGAAGTGCGATCGCCTTCGTGCCCCCGCCGGCGAACCAGCAAGGCCCCACTGAGCTGGCCGAGTGTAAGATGACGATGAATGCGGGATGACGATTAATAAAAAAGGAAGATAACGATTACAAATGAAATTTTCTGCTATTTCTGCATAATGTTCTGACTGGAGGAGAACAATCAAAAAAATAGTTTTCCAGCCCGCGGCCGGTATTTTTCTAATCGTCATCCCGGGCGCCGCCGCGTGAACACGACCCCTGGTCATTTCTTAATCGTCATCCTCCATTAATGAAACATGTGGGTGGAACGATTCACAAAACCATTTCCGCACCTCCGGCTTCCGCTTCGCTTCGGCTCCGTCTGGCCCGTCGACCGTCCAGGCGCGCGCCCGAGGAGGGCGGGGGGGAACGATCAAACAGTCTGTTCCCGACCGGAGCCCCGGCTTTCTACGCATCATTCTGGGCGCCGCCGCGTGAACACGACCCCCGGCAATTTCTTCATCATCATCATCATCATCATCATCATCATCATCATCATCATCATCATCATCATCAGCATCAGCATCATCATCATCATCATCATCATCATCATCATCATCATCATCATCATCATCATCATCATCCTGCATTGCCCCCCTGTCGCGAGGCTGCCCGCGTTGAGTCAGCGTCGAGCCCGCGTCGGATCTGGGTCGCATCTGCACCGGATCCGCGCCGATTCCGCATTGAACCCGCGTCGGGCACACGCAACAACCTCCCCAGACCCCCGACGTCATGATTTTTTCATGACGTCGACCCCCAGAGGTTTGGACCCATTCCCCAGGACCGGTTTTTCCTCCTGAGTCGTTTTTTGACGGTCCCGAGGCCCTGTAGGGGCCCCCAAGAGGCCGAAAACATAGAAAAACCTCCCGTCGTGATTTGTTCGTGGGCGGCGGGGGGGTATCGGAGGAGGAGGGGGAGGAGGAGGAGAAGGAGGAGGAGGAGGAGGAGGCGGAGGAGGAGGCGGAGGAGGAGGAGGAGGCGGAGGAGGGGTCGGGGTCGGGGTCGGGGTCGATGCGTTCCCGATCCCTCCCTGTCGGCGAGGACTTTGTAATGAAGGGAGGAGGGTCTCATTTCGGGGGGGGTCTCTTCCAGGCTATCTTGGAGGGCCTGGGGGGTCTGGGGACGATGTTTTGGAGGGTTCTCCCACGGGGGAGGTCTGAAGTGTTTTGTCTTGGAGGGTCCAGACCCCCTCCCTTTTATTAAGAAATCTCGTCTACTCGGTCGTACCTTGGGTCTCCGGCGGCCGTTTGGGATGATCGGGGCACCCATGGATGCCTCTCGGCGAGGCGCAGCCGCTGGAGAGCATCCCGAGACTGGGGAGCTGTCGAGCACAGACGAAAACACCAGAATACCTGTAACCCGAAGCATTCCCCGAAATCAGCGAGAAACTACGACCTCGCGAACGATCACAACCGGAGCCCTGGACCCAATCTCTCTGCTGCCTCTTTCGAGCCGCATCCATCGGTGAGGGCCCTTATAAGAGCCCGCAACAGGGCGGCCTCGCCCATTGCGAAAACCATTGCGGCGCCAGGGTCCCCGAGCTCGCCCCCGAGCCGATCCTCCTCGAACCCGACGCTGCCCCTGACCCCAGGTCGGGCATGCCCTCCTGCGGGCGGATCCTGGACGAGAACGAAAAGAGTAGGCAACAGAACATCCCCACATAATCAGCCAAACATAGTCAGCAGATCGCCCCTCGACTTTTTTTTGACAACTTTGAGTGCTTCTCCTCTGGAGGGACGTGCCCGACCTCACGCAAAGGGCGGCGGCGCCTGGGCGCCCGCCAGCAGCGCGGCGAGCGCGCACGCGCGGCGCCCCATTCGGCGCCTCCACGGCCCCCGCGCGCGTGCCGCGCGCGGGCGTCACGGCTCCATTGGCGGCGGGGGCGCGCGGGGGCGCCGCCCGCGGGCGGGGGGGGGGGCTGCTGCGGAAGAGGAGGGCCGCGCGCGGCGGCGCGCGGGGGCGGGCTCCTGCTGAGCTGGAGGCCTCCCCGGACCGGAGCCGGGTCGCGCCGCGATCGCCGAGGCATCGGCGCCGGTCGGCGTGGAGAGGGTCGGGCTCCACGGCGAAGCGCATCGCCCGTGCAGAAGCGCTGCGGCGCCATCAGAGGGGGCGAGGACGAGGAAGAGGGGGCGGGCCCAGACATCCGACGGCGTGAGGTCTCCAATCGCGGTGGGCTTTCCCTTCCCTTCGGCCTCCAGGGGCCGCCTTTCGGGCCTGGGGGCCATCGCAAAATGCTCTTGCCCGTGACCCCCCGGGGAAGGGGCAGAGTGCTCAGGGGGCGCGGGCGTGGGCTCCTGAGCGCTCTACCCCTTCGCTAGGAGGAGGAGGTAGGAGGTGGGAGGAGGAGGAGGAGGAGGAGGAGGAGGAGGAGGAGGAGGAGGAGGAGGAGGAGGAGGAGGGGGAGGAGGAGGAGGGGGAGGAGGAGGAGCAGGAGGAAGAGGAGGGGGGGTGAGGATGGGAGTGAGAGGTCTTCGGCGGCGACGTCCGAGCCCCTGCCCCCGCCAGCCATCGATGCCCCTGCATCGGTGGGAGGCGGGGACGGCCCTTCGCGTTCTGCCGCGTGCTGGAGACGTTCCGAACACTGCACCCCGCCGCCCATCCAGTTGCCCGAGTCGCTGATCGGCGAGGATGGGGTTCGGAGTTCGCGACCGACGTGTGCGTGTGTGGGTTGTGTGTATGTGTGTGTATGTGTGTGTGTTGTGTGTCTGTGTGTGTGTGTGCAACGGCTGGGCGGTCGACGAGCAAGACAGCCGATTCCCAGGGCAGGCCTCGACGGGTTGGCGACGGGCACCTCCAAGAGAGCGCAGGGAGGCAGAAAAGGGCGGAAAGAGGCAGGCAGAGAACAGAAGAGTGCCTTCGTCGTGCAAACGAGGGGGAGGGATCCCTGGGCCCCCGTTGGCGCTCGCCGTCGTCCGACGAACGCAGGACCCTATGGCGAGAAACACTTGTAAAGCCAGGTCAGCAACACAATAGCTTCGCGCTTCCACACTTGAAGAAGGGCTCAAGATGGCCTCCAGAACGCCGCCAGACGGCCTTCCGTCTGCACCAGACACCCTCCCAGCAATGACGAGGCCATCCCATAGTGCCCCATGGACGGTTCACGTTAACAGAAAAACCGACGAAGGGCCGTCGTGTGGAAAAACATAGCGACCGCAAGACGAATTAATAAAAATTGCCAAAACCGGGCCAACACGGCACCGGAGGGGCCAACAGGGAGGGGACAATAGGGCCCCCGAAACGGTCTGAAGACGCCCCCTGCCAGCCCTAATATCTGCCTCAACGACACCGACGCTCTGGACAAGCAACCAACACGCTTCATAAAACGACAATGCCGTAAATCAACTCGACAAGAGACTTGGACCCCATCTCTGTGCTGCATTTTTCGAACTGGACCGTTCCGTGAGGGTTCTGGGGCCTGAAGCAAAGCAGCCTGAAACAAAGCAACATCGCCCGCCAGAAACATGCGACGACAGGAGCTCTGGAAAGACAACCCCGAGGCCCCGGGGAACTTCCAGGAGGCCTCTACGGGGCTCTCAAGAGGCCCCCACCGGGGCCCGAAGAGCCTCACGGGAGCCGGAGGCGAGATCACCCGCCAGGACGACTGCAGGGCCGCAAGGGCCTGGACAGGCCTCAACATACCGCAGGAGGTCCCAAGAAGCTGCCACGGTATCCCCACGGCTTTCCTCAAGAAGGCACCACCCTTGAGCATCTCGTCAACGATCCTGCCCCCACAGGAGTTGCCTAGGCCCCAGAGGCCAACTTGCACACCTGGGCTGGAATCCATGGTCCTGTGTCGATGTTCACAGACCCCCCCCCCCACGCCCCAGATGGGATGGGCCCCAGGGTTCCACGGCCCCCCCCCACAGCAAATTGGATGGGGGGGTACGGCGACGACGCGACGACGACGACGACGACGACGACAACAACGACGCAGTCGTCGATGACGCCACAGCCGCCGCCGCCGACGCCGCCCGCGACGCCGCCGTCGCCGCCGCCGCTGCTGCGACCGACGCCGACGCCGACGCCGACGCCGACGACGACGACGACGCCGCCGCCGCCGCCGATGGCGACGCCCACGCCGACAGAGGGCATCCGCCGAAGGGCGGGAGCACGGGCCGCCGCCGCCACGCCACGCAAACGGGGGCCGCCTGCTCCTCCACCTCCTCCTCCTCCTCCTCCTCCTCCTCCTGCTCCACCTCCTGCTCCTGCTCCTCCTCCTCCTCCTCCTCCTCCTCCTGCTCCTCCTCCTCCTCCTCCTTCTCCTCGTCCTCGTCCTCCTCCTCCTGCTCCTGCTCCTGCTCCTGCTCCTGCTCCTGCTCCTCCTCCTCCTCCTCCTCCTCCTCCTGCTCCTCCTCCTCCTCCTGCTCCTGCTCCTGCTTCTCCTCCTCCTCCTCGTCCTCCTCCTCCTCCTCCTTCTCCTCCTGCTCCTGCTCCTGCCACGACGGCCACGGGGGAGAGCGATCCCATGTGGGAGGCCGTCGTGAGGCTCACGGGCGTACCCATCCAGCGGGAAGGGAGGAGGGGGTCGATCCCTTGCAGTCGGACTCGACTGGACAGGACACGCGAGGGGACACGAGACCCTTCCGAGGGCCACGTTGCTTGCCACAGGAATGCAGGAAGCACGAGTCGCGAGACGCAGGACACAAGGGTACCCTTGACTTGGCAGGGTCGACCTACTAATCCGGGCCGACTGTCTGCATTTGGGGCGGGGGGTGCAACCCTGGATCATACATGCTGGCTCCTTCGGGACTCCCGTGGCCGATCCCCACCCGGGAGGGTGAGCTGGTGGGGCTGGAATATCCATGCCTACATCGGCGCTACGAAAGTTTTGACCCGTTTTGTGTTTTCAGCTAAACAACGCCTGAGCATCACATTGGTTATGAACACCACGACGGCCGGTAGCATCACTCCAAAGCCTGAGAGCACCACAGAACCTATGAGCAGCCGAGCGCCGATAATCACCTTGACGCTAGCACCCCCGTGCCTACGATGGTTTCGAATTCTGTTTTGGAGGAAGTCCTGGGCGGGAGCGCCATTTCGAGTTCGAACGGAACAAATGCCGAACCTCATTTTGCAGGAAGCCCTGCGCGGGAGCGCCATTTCGAAATCGAGGCAGAAAGGTTTCGATTTCTATGGTAGAGGAAGTCCTGTGCGGGAGCGCCATTTCGAAATCGAAGCAGAAAGGTTTCGAATTCTATGTTTGCGGAGGTCCTAGGCGGGGGCGCCATTTCAAAATCGATCCCGAAAGTTTCGAAATCGTTCGAAATCGTTTTTCGAGGACGTATCAAACGTATCAAGCGAACCGTTTTTCGAAACCGCCGTTTCGAAATGGCCACACCGTTTGGCATTGAAAAATTTAAAAGCCCCGACCCGAAAACTCGAAAATGCAACTTTCGCTTAGGACTTCCTCCCAAAAACGAGCTCGACTGGATTTCGAAACCCTCGGGCTCGATTTCGAAATGTGGCTTTCGCCTAGGACTTCCCCCCCAAAACGAGCTCGACTGGATTTCGAAACCCGCGGGCTCGATTTCGAATGGGCGGTGCCGCCCGAGACTGGAGCGAAAAATGCTTCAACCGAGCATTGTACTGGGGCCCCGCGGTCTAACGGGCCCACTGCCAACGTTGTACTGGGGCCCCGTCGCCTAACGGGAGGCGTTGAATTTTGGCTGAACTTTCGTAGCGGCGAAGTAGTGGGTATGGGGATACGTCAGGCGATACTCTGAACACTGGCGACCTGACCATACGTTGGTGAGCTCCCCATTGTCTCAAATGTGATCCTCATTCTGTCGTCGACTTCTGAGCTCACTGTCTCGCCCATAAGCGCAACTATGTACTGGTGTATGGTTACGCATACGGCCCAATGGGACGCTGCTGCTGTGGAATGCCACCAGCTCTCTGGGCGTAGGTGGTCTAGGGAGGCTCCGCTTCCAAACCCCTTCTTCCCCTTCGTGGAGGGGCTATCACTGTCCCCTAATAATATACACCCCCTCCCCGAGGCGACCGGCAGCCAGCCAGGAACAATGAGAACGCCATGCTCCCCCACAACCATCCCTGCCATAAAATAATACAAAACCACTCTGCCTCCAAATTTGGAGCGTGCGCGGCCAACCCGATGCGCCCCGCCCCACCATCCGTCAAACAACCATACGAAATACACTTTGGGGCAAAAAGTCGTGAGTTGTGTTCGTGGGGTGGTGGCGTATGGCCTGCTGTGCGCAGGCCCACCAGACACAATGATGGGCACTGGTTCGACGCGTATAGTGGAAGTCGACATGCCTCCCCATGTGTGCTGTCACGTGCGCAGGCGCACCTGACACACTCTGCACGTGCCCCAAACGTGGCGCACCTGGTGCGGCTGGAGTCTGCGGCACATCTGGCGCACGCGGAGCACGTAGCGCATCTGGCGCACCAGGCGTGCCTGGCACGCTCGGGCCCTAGGGATGCCTGACGCGCGTGGCGCGCCTGGCACGCGTGGCGCATCTCGCCCCAGCGTCGAGCACATGGGGTCGGTTGTGGTTCCTAGTAGCTGCCCATCCAAAGACAAGCGCTTAACATGCTGAGGCTCGGGTATTACTGTATTACTTATATGTTGGGAGGGCGGGCGGGAGTAAGCTAGACGGCTTGCTATCTAGGAGGGTGTCCTGACCCCGAACCCCCTCCCCCCTCCCCTGGACCTGGACGGGGGGTTCGGCGAGCAACTGGAGCGTCCAAGATGGCCCAAGACGGCTCCAAGAGGGCCTCGGAAAGCCCACGGTGACCTCCTAGATGGCTCAAGATAACACTTCAAGATGGCTCCCAACATGCTCCACGAGCCCCC